GAACCATTCTCTGTTCCGAAAATTACCTCTGACTTCATCTTGCGATTCATTCAGATGAATTCAACCAACTCTTTCATACCAATCACTGAAGACATCTTCACTTCTAATCAAAATACCAAAATGAAACTGTGAAATTTGAAGAATTCCACTCAAAATTGAGCCGAACGAAACAATTTACATGAGCTGTTTGTCGCTCGGAAAGTTTCTTCTGCAGGTTCTCGATTTGTTGGTCACGATCACCACTGGAAGACTGCAATTGCTCAAATCGCTTTTGATGCTCGACCATCTCAGATGCTTTTTTCTCAAGCTGTAAATCACTCAATCAGACAACTCAACGATAATCACGAATAAAAACTATCACATTTGAAGAACGTTCATTTTCTAATACTGAACTGCCCCAACAATGGCCAAGCGTCATTGATTCTTGATGGGAGTGTCAGCATCACCATAACACTTCGGAGCTATTTTTCTAATGGAGGGTTAGTTTTGAAATTACGGTTACATTTTTGCAGAAAACTTCATACAAAAATGGTCACCGAAACATTGATTATGCTCGTCAGTTGTTAAACTTCTTTGATAATTCCTTGCAAAATTGATTCTAAAAATAACCTCTTTTCGATATTTCGTCAGCTGTGTTTCATTCTTGGTTGATTCATCTCTCAAGGTTTCCAACTGAGAACGAAGTTCCTCTAGTTGCTTAAAAAACAATTTCCATTTAACAGTTTCATAAGAAAGTCAAAGAGAATCATCTTTGCACTGAATGATCTTCATGTGATCTATCGTAGGTCTGTGATTTGTTCAACCCTCTAAATTTTTATATCCGATAACAACTTGTGTTATTACTGTAATGTTTTCGCAATCCTAAACTTATCCAAAGGCGTGAAGCTTCCTTCAACAAGAATTTTCAACTTCAGCTCTATTCTCTCAATAAGGAATTCCAAAGTATCACAAATATTTGAAATCATAACTATCATAATCAGCATCGCGCCATTTCGATGAACAATATTCATTCTAACTGCAAATAACTTAGATCACCCCATACCACTGAATATACGAACTTGCGATTTCCTACAACTGTCGGTTGATGGTGAACAAACAATTTTCAAATATAAGTTCATTAATCCCATCAATGTGATCAGTATTCACCTGATTCAGCGCAGTCTTATTTTCACTTTCCAGTACAAGTTGTTTTGCGGTGTCGGTGAGTTGCTTCTTCAGTTCAACAGTTTCATTTTCGAGTCTTGCTATCTTCGCTGCATCCGCATCGCTGGTTTTCTTTTCCTTCAAAAATTGTTAATTATCACTCTTCTAATAATCCATCAAACCAATTCAACAGTTCACACCAGCAAACTGAGTCATCTGTCGGAAACGATTTTATCAAATAAGATACTGTAGCTCCTTAATAAGATACTGTAGATCACTAACGCAGATCAGAACGAGACACATGTCGAAATTGAACACGGTATACAAAATCATTTGCTGTTACATGATAGAACCCCTTCAAAGGCGTTACCTGCTTAGCAAGCTTCATACTTTGCAAAGCGGCTGCTTTCATTTCGAGATCTTGTTGCAGTGTCTCGACGTTCTCTTGAAGTTTCGACTTTTCCTCTTCAACGAACGCCAACCGTTGTTTGGCATCTTCTTTGGCCGAGTCCATCTCAAGAGATTTCCTGCGCAATTCCTCTTGCAAACTGTGAACATCATTGTTCAGTTGTGTTTGAATCTTCTGAAATTATTGAGCGGAGTTCAAATTCTTTCAAACGATTATTGAGGAGAATACAAAGCGAGAACAGAAACGATTAGAATGAGTTGTTCCGAAAGGTTACAGTTCACACAGGATCTTACCTGTATATTGGCCAACTGCGTTTTCAACGAATCATTTTCGGCTTGCAAAACGGCACTGGTTTGCTGATCGGCTGCATCACGGCTTGATTCAGCCACTTGAGCAATAAGCGTGTTGATCTGAATCAAGTAATGCCTCAGAATGCGAAAACACATCTCAGTGGCAAGTAATAAGACGACGAGTTAACGATAAGCACGAATTCATCACTAATCTTATGGCGATAGTCAATTCCGTACTCTAATAAATCAGTTCCAGAGAAACTACAGAATATCACAGATCTGTGATTCTCGAATAAACACTTCTAGTTTTGAGCACATATGAGGATCATTCCACAAAACGGCAAAAAGATCTATGTGCCCGTTCATAGAAACGACAGAATTCAGGCCGAATTATATTCGTCATGAAAATGGCATCCAATATACTGGAATATGCCGGATAACCTGTAAGAAAAGTTCCTGCTTTTCGTTCTGTTCTCGATCCAGTTGCATGGTCAGCTCACGTTTTTCCCTTTGCAACTGCTGCACGTCCATCGGTTGCTTCGACTCCAACACACGCTTCTGATTCTCCCATTGTACTCTGAATCATAATCATCATTACTGAACGCAATCCAAACGTAGAATCCCTTCCATTGAACTTCCAATTATATGTCACCATTATTCAATAAATTTGATCGCATTAGATCAACGCAAGCAATTCAGTGATCACTCACAAACTCACCACTTAGCTCGAAATCTACAGGTAGGTTCTCCTGATTTTTAAAAAATTAATTAAAGAAGCAAAATCGCTTGGAATGTATGCAATCATGCGAAATGTCCTAGCAAATCAGGAACACGAAATATATCTTTAAAGACGTCTCGACTCAACAACTGCCCGAGTTATGGAACCAATAGGCTTGGCGATAGCAGCTACAAGTGGATACAATGAGCCTTCTCGGTTGTTTCAAACTAATGCTAATATTTGAGTTGTTTGTAATGGAACTGAAAGCGACTGCATTTGTGTATCTATCATGTTTATTTATGTCATATAAATTTATCTTGCGCAAATTATATTCCATTATATCATATTTGTTTTAGTATGTACATATTTATATATGAACGTTTGCATGTTTGCTTGATACACAAATGAACACATCTAAATATTCGAATGTTGAAGAAAAAATGTTGTCTAAATTTTCAGACGTTGAGGAAAGAAAATTAACAGAATTTTAGAACTTTGAAGAAAAATGTTATCTAAATTTTCGAATACTGAAGAAAAAACTGTTATCAGAATTTCATTTGCATCGATTTGTTTGCGCAATGTTCATGCGAAATTGGAAGTATGCATTTGTCCACTTTTCATTTCCTTACAATCTCCTGGGCAGCTTCCGAACCCGATACAATTCAGTAAATTCCATAGGATAACGATTTCCTCGAACTCATGTTAAACTATCCTATCAGTCGAACGAATACGATGATATTCTCATATTTTTCTGATAACGATATCAGAAAAATATGAGAATACCGAAAAATTTGATGTGATTCATTTTTGATCGTTGTTGGATCGTGACGTTCAGTATTCACTCTTGTATTGTAGTAGCAACCATTTTAAAATTATATTTGAGGTATGTTATCAGCTTAGTTCTCGTTATTTTTCTC